GTTCATTGTGCTAGAGAGCCTGAAGTGCTTAGTGCTATGGCCACCATAGTAAATAAACTAGAAGCCCATATCACTAGCGAGGTGCCCAAAATATTTGATGCAGTATTTGAATGTACTTTAGAAATGATAAACAAAGACTTTGAAGAATTTCCGGAACATAGAACAAACTTTTTCCTCCTCTTACAAGTAAGCAATATTGCTTATTTTTATATGATTCCTCCGAGTTATACTTGAAGATTATTTTATCTGTATTTTTTAATTCAGGCGGTGAATATTCATTGTTTCCCTGCATTTCTTTCAATTCCACCGGCTCAATTTAAACTGGTTCTTGACTCGATTATTTGGGCTTTTAAACATACAATGAGGAATGTAGCTGATACAGGATTACAAATTCTTTATCAACTTCTATTAAATATTGAACAGCATGAACAGGCGGGTCAAAGTTTTTATCAAACATATTTTACGGATATTCTACAACATGTATTCAGTGTTGTCACAGATACATCACACACTGCAGGTAAAGTAATAATACTGTTGTTGATTAATTAATATTTACATTAATATTAAGTATAGTAAAAAGAAATCCATTATTTTTCCATTCAATTTCATGCAAAAATAATGGATTTCTTTTTACTACACCTAATATTAATCAATATATATTGTTTTTATGTATTTGATTTTATTAATGTGTACAGGCCTGACTATGCACGCGACTATTCTCGGTTATATGTTTACACTGATTGAACGTGGGAAAATTCAGGTGCCGCTCGGCCCTGTGCCTGATAATACTTTATATATACAAGAATTTGTTGCAAGATTGCTTAAAGCAGCCTTTCCGCATTTAACCGATAATCAGATTAAAATAACTGTACAAGGTTTGTTTCATCTTAATCAAGATATCAACGCATTCAAGGAACACCTCAGAGATTTTCTCGTGCAAATCAAAGTAAGTAATATTCAACATTTTTGTACGTTTATTTAAAAATATATATGAAATAGTTAGTATTATTTTGCAGATTATAAATAATGGGATAAAATAATAACTGTTAGAATCAAAATTATTTTTTAAGTTTTAAAATAAATTGTTTTTATCTGTAGGAATATACGGGTGAAGATGATTCTGAGCTTTATTTGGAGGAACGAGAAACAGCTTTACGGCTAGCCCAAGAAGAAAAAAGGCGGCAGCAAATGGCGGTACCAGGCATTATTAATCCTCACGATATGCCAGAAGAAATGCAGGACTGAATTACCATAGTCCTTGTCTATCATGTTTTGCACATCTGAATGAGAAACACTGTTAAAAAATAATTATTGTATCCTTTGAGCTGTAATTATCCTTATGACATCACCATAAAAAATAGACAAATATTGATTATACTTATTAAAACCGAGTCTGCAAAAAGAAACTACCCTTGTTAGGGAAGTAAGCCCAAAACGTGGTGAACTGTTTGTTATAGGATTCTAAAAAAAAAAAATTCGAGTTTCCGTTGTGGATAATAGGACAATTGCCTGCTAGCGATGCTATTTCATGTAATGAAATAAAAAGTTGCTTCTCAGAGAAAATCGATTGTCTAAGAAACAATAATTCTATAAGACAAAAACGTTTACAAATTAATTCCCAGATAATTAGAATTACACAAAAAATGGTAGATATAGCAAAAGTAACCAGTCTTGAGAATTACCCTCAAATGATTCGATATATATATATTTCATACATGATGAATTTTCTCTATATAAAATTTTCCACGAAACCTATAATACTACTATATTTAAGTTTCGTTTTAGCATTTTTTTCTATGCGAGTTAAGAGAAACGCTATAAGTCCACAGAATTGTTTTGTGCACACTATTGGCCATTTAAATTTCTTGTCGAATGGATATGGATATGTATGTATGTATGTAAGCTTACTTGTGATAGCTTATACTAATGTATTGATACATGAATTTGTTATAATATAAATAATACAAAGAAAGTTTTTCTTGTTCCATACTTTTTATTCAGTCAAAATGATATGTTCATTCATACAACCGAGGATACATTATTATTCAACAATAATGCCAATAAAATTGATTTCTTTTTTTTTTTTTTGTTTTTTTTTTTTTTTCGAAAGGTAACAAATGATGGAACGTATACAGTGATATGAAACGCGTGCGCGAGTGATAAACTTACATCTACTAGATGAGAGAGAGAGAGAGAGAGAATGCACAGGTATATAGTATAGCTAACAAACAATCCGAATAATTCAAACCGTGTAAAAAATTATATAAATATATATAAACCAGCGCGACCTATTTAACTTGTTAGATGATTAATGCATTTATTTGATCATTATACATATAATAATGATTTCACTGAATACTTGGTGAGTTAGTGTACTTTATCGGGCGTGAGTGAATAGGAAACCTCTTGGTGATTTGCGTGAGATAAGATTTGTGTATAAGGTATCATTGGGTTTGTGATCGATGTAAAAGGATAATTTTTATTGCAATGAATCATATAAATGATTGTCGTATGTATGTTTAAATCAGTGTAGAGCTTTAAAGAATAATACGTCGATATTATAGTTACATGCAGGGGGGAAAGGGACGATTGAATTTGAAATATGTGAATAATTTGCATAAAATAGTATCGTCGCAAGCAGGCTCTGAAGATGATGTGTACGTGAAGGCGCGTGTTTTTATCTGACGATCAATGAGAGCGAAGTTGTATAAAATACTATCATTATTATTACTATTATTATGAACCATACAGTGAACACTTGTAAATTAAAATGATCGCAACCGTACATTTAGCACTTATTTAGGTACTCCATCTTATCTCGATTTGTGTTGTCAAATTTAACTTACAATTAGTAATTACAAGAAAAAAAAATATTACGCTGAGGAATCTTCCTACCTAAAGATTAGCGACTTACTTATATTGAAGGATCGAGTTTTTTAATACATTCTGTTTTTACAAATCATTGTCGTATCATTAGTCATACGCGGCGTTCTATTGAAATTAAATAAATTTAAATAAACGAATTTGATTCATTGTACTATCGCCTTATTTTTATTATCTAAAACATTATTCTCTATAAAAATATTTCAAAGACAACATTAAAGCTTTGATATATTATCCCCCAGAGCACAGAAAGATTGCAGAAATATTTGGAGGATTGCAACATTGTAAAAATATGTAAAATGTTGCTGCAACGTAGTAATAACATTAATTAAAATGCCCCCTTTTAGAAAGATTGTAATGAGATATCATTGCAACATTGCAATATAGACTGCATTATTCTATTTAATTTGATGTTCACAGCTCTTGTAAGCATTTGTCTTTATTTAACAGGATTTTGTAGTTGTCTTATTTATATCATAACTTCAAATTGTTTAATCTTTTAATTGCATTTACAGATTTAAAAATTCTTCCATGCATAATTAAAATATTGACGCACAATAATTTCGCATAAAAAATGAAAAAGAATGGGAAAATTACATATAATATTTTGTTATCGGCTTCCGATGTCGACTCGTAATAACATTACTTTATATAAGTTTTATGTTTTACGAAACGTATTTATTTATATTTATGAAATGAACTTAGAGCGCACTAAGATTAAATGAAAAAACAATATTATCTAATTAAAGAAGAAACTCTATATTCGCTCAAAGCGATTTTCATATGTTTAAATATTTTTGTGAATTTATATATTTGATTCTGCGCGCCGAAATCTCTTCCAATCTTGAAACGTTCAATAAGCAGAACTCGAGTAATAATAATTAAAATTGCAATTTAATAATTTTGTTATGCTAATGAGCATTTTTTATAAAAATGTTAATAATAAGATGTTAAAGAGAAACCTAAGAATAATTTTATTGCAAAAAATATGGCTTTAGTCATCAAGAATAAATATTATCGAAATCTCATAATCGAATTTTGATATGACGTCCCGGAATCAGAAGTTTCAGGTTTAAATTCTGATTGAGATATTTTTCGAAATAATATTATTCTTATTAATATATTCTCGTAAAATAATATATTCTCGTAGATAGTTGCGACAATACAATCCTTCCTCATCACTTCTCTAGAGGTCCTATACTTTTAAGATTCTGGATTTGTAATCACTCCCTTTCAGCCCTCTCAGCATAGGGGTAGTTAGCATAAAGATGGTCTTAATTGAGTCATGGAACGTGAGTTGCAATCATAGGTACGCACAAGTTTTGATCATGGCATAAAATATTCTTATATCATGCGGCATGCCTATGATTTAAATTCCACAATTCAGTTACAGCAGAGAGAAACCTGAGGGATATCAAGAAGAATCATTGGCGGACATTGGCAATGGCGGCCATACCGGCTTCCGGCCTTTTTCAAATAACGGTTGGAAGTCCTTTACACTAGCGACACCAATATCAATTTTATAGAATCATAAGAACTATATTATCGACATTACTGATAAAGTCGTAGCGTCGAAAATATAATGCAAATCTTATTATTTATAATATGATTAAATCAGACTTTCGATTTAAATGATGAGACTGATTAAATAAAAAATATGACTGAATAGATTACCATCTGATAAAATTTAAGGCTTATATATATTTTTTCATCGATTCCAATTCATTGCTAAATCTCGTCTTAAAAATATGCGGAAAAATTCAAATGAATGAGGTAGTAAGATCCGAAAGGAACAAAAATTTCTGTTTGTATCCTATAAATTATTAGAATTATTTTTTGTGTATGCATTGTTTTAAAATTAAATATTTCAAGAAACGCAAATTAAACTGAATGAGATTATCGAATAAACAGAAACTACGTATCTATGGATACATATCGAAAATTTTTACTATTCTTGAAGCTGCACATTTACCTTGCATATCAATATATATGTATTAGCAAATGCGCTGTATCTCCTTCTCAGAATCGTTTTAATACGCCAGATAATATAAACGGAAATATATTTATTAGTTATTTATTATCAATACATTTTTACTAATAAAATGTCGAAAGACAAAATGTTGAAAGACGAGTGGCAGAAACACCAACCTGATTTTCATGATGAGAAAAAGTGGAAAGTGGAAAGTGATGATGGCAGAATACATGAGGAAACTTATGATTCGAATAAATACATATCCGGAGCAAAACGCGTGACGAATGGAACAGTGCCCATGAACATTTTACAGTTTCAGTATCCTTCTTTGTTATACAACTGTAAAATGATCGCTAGATTTTTCTCTTTCTTTTTTCGAGCCGCGCGAATGTTCGCTGATACTGCGATGGCGCATTGAACATAAACCTCATATGAATAATATTAAAATAACATTAAAAAATGATTCTAAAATAATTTTACTTTTTGATCACAATTCATTCTAACGTTATTTTTATGTAATTGTGATTTGGGTAATGAAATAACTATAGGAGTTTCAACAAAATTGAAAATATATGTTTCTTAGATAATATTATAGTCATTCATTTTCATACGATTGTCAGAGATATTTTAATCTTTGTGTGATAGAACCGAATGTTGTCGTCTTTGCTTCTGGTAACATTTTACATTTTTTAAATACCGTAACCAAAAAGCTGTGGTTTAGAAGAGGATACATGGGTGGTGGAATTGGACACGTGACGGTATTCTTTAATTATTTATATCTATATTATAAACAATAGCCATACTTGCTTGATACATAAAAACTTGTATGCAAAGAATCTTGTCAAAACAAAAATGCAAAAAAAATAAAGTCCAATTTTTTCGTTAATTTTTAATAAATTTTTCTTGAAAAGAAAATAAAAATTTCGAAAACATACGTATAATTTCTCACGATATTATTTTGCCGTTTCTTTAGAAAAACCCAATGTTTGATCATATTGCCATTGGTGAAAATGGTATTAAACCTCCAATAATAATCTACAAATGGCCTTCAATGGATATCGTGACAATTTTATACAATGGCACGATGAAGTCTTATCGTCACTTAAAATATAGGTATTTTATAAAGAATTTAAAACGCAAGATCGCATTTACCGCTTCAATATATTTATACTTTAAATATTTAAATATTTTACATATATTTTACATATTTTTGAAGTGCGGATGGTTTGTTGCTGGTGTCACAAGGAGGACATCCAGATTACACGATTACCTTCTGGGATTGGCAGAAATCTGAAATAGCATTAAAATGTAAATCTTACAATAGAGATGTTTACAATATAACGGTATCTCCATCGTTACCTGGATATTTAGCAACAAGTGGTTTGGGACATATAAAATTTTGGAAAATTTCTGAAACATTTACTGGGCTTAAATTAAAAGGCGAAATTGGTAAATTTGGTCAGACAGAGATCTCTGACATTGTGGGCGTATATATCATGCCAGATGGCAAGGTAAACATATATTATTCAAATGTATCAAATATTTTAATTTAGTCATTTTTAACTTATATAGAATTATACTGTTTTTAGATAGTATCAGGCTGCGAATGGGGAAACATTTTACTGTGGGAAGAAGGTTCAATTACTCTTGAAATATGTAGAAAAAATCAGCAGCCATGTCACGCTAAAGCAATTACACAATTTGAATATATAAATGGAGAACTTATATCAGTTGGTATAAAAATCTTTTATATTAATATTGTAATTTTTATATTGTTATGGTGACAAATAATAGAAGAGGCAAATAATACAATAGGAGTATTAAAAAAGCATATTATTCTGTAGAATTGAATCAGATATAATTCTAAAATTCTTTTTTAATAAATAATTCTTTTTTATAAATTATCATGTGATATTGAAACATTAATTTATTAATGTTTCAATATGTAGAAGTTCTCAAATGAATATTTTTTTTAAATTTTTATCTTTACCAAAATAGTCTGGTGAAAATTTTTCTTAGAATTAATTATAAAATTTTTCAAAATTTTAATTTTTATGTAAATTTCAAGAATTTTTTAGAATTTTTGTTCTAATTTTATTTTATAATAATAGGATACCTAATCCTAATTTCACTTATAATTTAATTATTTCAAAAAATACCTTATTTTTAATATATATAAATCCCTTACATATTCCATCATATTTTTATTAAAAATAATTTATTATCAAATTATTATTTCCTTAATACTAATTAATCAAACTTTACTTATAACACATAGTCTAACCGCTATTGGTTAGCTGGCACTAAAATTGAGATTTTTTTCAAATTTTTTAGACTTTTTATATGAATTAGAATATTTTTCAAAAGTGCCGAGAAAGTGCAGTTCACCTTTTTTAGAACTGTTTACATTATATATATGTGATTTTTGAAATATTTTAATTGTAAAAACTTCTAAGATTTCTCATTTTATAATTTTCGAAGAAATAAATAAAACATGAAAGAAGTTTAAAATATTTTTTTAGAAATCTTCAATAACTTACAAAATACAAGAAAATTTAAAAAATAATACTGAACACCAGAATGATACTTAAATTAAAATGCAGTCAGAATATATATAATAGATACATATCTAGAGATTTAGGCTAATGAGATAATATTCTAATAATTTTTACGATTGAATTGTATAGGTATGGATGGATGGATTCGAATTTGGTTTTATGAAACTATAGATCAAGCAAATCCCCAGAATGGGGAACTTTTTCTAGAAATTCAACCTATCTATGAATATCACATCAGTGAGAGTGATGGAACAAGTGCAATATTAATGTGCATACATAAACAAAAACCAGATAGTCCAGAGAGTACATTTTGGTATGCACAAGTAAGTAACAAATTTCCACTACACATTAAAAACTATTGATAGCGGCGTTAGCAAATTTAACATAAAATAAATTAAAGAAAAAGAAAATGAGTGAAATATTCATGCAATTTTTAAATATCTTTTAAATATCTTTTCTACTCAAGGATGGAAATGGTGGAATTTGGCTAATAGATTTCCATGATTTAACAACACAAATACCGCAAAAAATATTTACATGTCATGCGGGAGCTATAGCCGATATGGCTAATGCAACGTGGGGTCCTTTTATAGCTACACTTAGTAAAACCGGACAGTTGCATATTTATAATTATCTAAAAAAAAAGTTAATTTTGACATACCAATTTAACGACACTGGTAGTCAAGTTGTCTGGTTTCCATGTCAGGTAAAAGTTGGGTTTTGTAAATATTCATCTATTTCAATTAGATATTCTTTTAATATTATAGTTGATTGTAACATATATACCAGGTGCTCGAAATAGAATGTTAGATATTTTTATATTAAAAACAATGCATTTTTAAGAAAAATTGTTCAGATAAATTATTTGATTTAAAAAAAAGAAATATTATTATATTGAAATCTACATATATCTACAATACTTTTCTATAGCGCCACAAAATAACATGAGAAATTACATTCGTTTTCTGGTATTTTATCGCTTACAATTAGTTTTATTATATATGATTACATTCCCCCTCGCCGGGGGGGCGGAATAAGGAATTTTCACATTGTCTACATATATATAATAAATATTTTTATAATAAAATTATAATGTATAAAATTTCTTTCATATATATTCGCAAGTTTGAAGCAACAGGATCAACACTTGCTTGTGCTTTCGGAAGTGGTGTTATTCGTTTAATTGTTGTAGCGGTATCAACGGCTGACACTATTGACAATATAAAGGGAGATTATGTTAGGCTGATTCAAGTCATAAAACCGCATAAAATGGCAATAACTGTAATGTCTCTAAATCCATTATGCAAGTATGAAAAACATTATTTTAATAAGCGCTATTTTATGGAGAGCTTTCGTTTTGTAATCATCGATTTCAATAAACTTTTGTGTGTAGTATGCACTCATGTATGTACTACATTAAAGTAGTATTCGAAATGAATTGATTCAACTATTTCCTAGATTCTTTTTATTATATTTTCTAGAAAAACGAAATAATTTCAAATAAATAATTCTTCGGAAATTATAGAATGAGAAATTTTAGAATATTTCAAAGTAGATTATAAAAAATTACAAATTATTTAAAAAATATAAATTTATGTAGAAATTTTTAAAAATTATATATGAAGAATTAAAAAAAAATTTTTCGCCAAAATTTTGCCATAGATACATAGTTATAAGAATAATTTCCATGTAAAAATATTGCAGCTTACTGGTGACTGGTGGTGAAGATTCAATTGTGTTTAATTTCAAAATTGTAATTACTAAAACTTTTCCTATCATTACGCCAATTGGCTTCATTAAAGTACCTTCAGGAGTCACATGTCTCACATGGAAACCGCAACGTGTAAATAATAATATAATTACAATTTAACACCAGATTATCCATAATTGTCCTCAATTTAATCCCATTTTACAGAAAACTACATTATTAATTGGATGTTCACGAGGTGATTGCGTAGAAGTTGTATTACCAACCATACTTCAATCGTATACTATGGCTTCATATGAACTTGTTCAGTGTCAACCGAAAACATTTAAATTTCATTCTGTAAAATCTGCTATTCAAAGGGAATTAATACGTCTACATCGAGAGAAAGAGAAAAAAGAGAAAATAGCGAAAAGACGTGAAGAAATAGAGCAATTAATAGCTGAAAGTCCTGAACTAGAAATTAACGAGGAGGCATTCTTTGGTTAATATATTATTTATTAACTCATCTTTCTAAAATGATAATGTATTCTAATTTTATCATTTAATTTAAATTAATATAGAAACAAAATTGATTAAATTAAAATAACACAATTAAATTTTCAATAGATATAGAAGAAAAAGAGCCATTGCCAGAAATATATATACCAAAAATACCAAACAAAGTATTAACAGCACAATATATTACTCGCGATATTATTTGGTTGTCGATAGCAGGATTTGATGCGGGATATATGTACGAATATTTAAGCCCGGAGATTTCAGAAGATATTGGGAAAGAGCCTATTAAAAGTATCGCAATATACGACGCAGATGACATAGAAATACAAAGTTGTCTCTTTTAGTAAGCGCAAATAAAATTAATTTTTATATTGCATAAAAATTGATTTTGTATTATTATTTGTTCATCTTATATTCATTTTATATCGTTAGTAAAGGAAAGAAATATTTGTTTCTGGGAATGGAGTACGGAGAAATACGAATTTGTAGATGGAAACCCAAAAATTATACAGATCTTTCAGATTATTGGATACTTCCAATGCATGATAATTATAATGGTTACATCTCAAAAATGATTCTCAGCCATGATCAAAAGATGTTATTTACATGTGGATATGATGGAAATTTATTTTCTTATGAAATAAACGATGATACGCCATTCAAACAAATTAAATTTGAAAAAACCAAAGGGACCTTATCTTTAGTATGCATTTTTATTAATTAATTATTTCTCAAAACATTATTAACTTAAAATTAACATAATGAGATTGATTTTTGTAAATGCATGCTCTAATAAATTAATTTTTTATATGGCATAGCCATATACAAGTGTTGAAGATATCGAAGAAATTGATTATGCAAGTCTGGAAGAAATGATTCAACAAGCTGAATATAACAAAATTGAGACTGCGGCAAAACAAAGTAAACGTCAGACTTTAGAGATATTACTTAAATTAAGCGAAGAATATAACAAGATTGTAGAAAGGTTTAGATAATGTCAAATATATATATATATATATATGTATATGTATATGCGGAAAGAACAATTTTTGCTGAAGCATATAATAATATATTCTTATTAAAGAATTTTCCCATTCCAACCGAAATTTGGTAATAGTTTTAATTATTATCCAAAAAATTATTATCAAAACTGCGTTATTTTATTCAAATTATATATTATTTAAATTTTATATAAAAGATTGTCTAAAAGATTTGTCTAAAAAATATTGACATAACAATCAGCTTGAACATTCCATATAATTATTTAAATAGACTAATAATTATACTAATAATTATTTTCAAGTTTATTATTTAAAGGATTCCGCCATAATCTTACAAAAATTGGACACACTTCCCCCCTTTTCCACACCATCTCCATCCACCTCCAATTTTATATTTTCAGTAAGATTCAAATTCCAATTTCCATAAGATTATAGCGGGATTTTTTTGGATACTTCAGCAAAACTGGTCTTTTTGTGTAATTAATTATTAATTAAGCAGCATTAAGCAAAAATCATATTAATGCATTTTTTTATTAGGAATAATGCACTGCCAAAGTTTCATCAATTAAGTGATAAAGAATTGGAACTGGATTTTAGAATTATAGCTGATCTAAATAAAGAATTGGATGCGGAAATGTCTATAGTACGTGAGAAATTGGCGTTTAAAGTGGAGAAAAGCGAACTTGGATTACAAAAACTTCTAAAACACTTCGTTCAACCTCTTACTTGCTTACCATTTGTCGTTTGCAAAATATCGTAAGTGAAAATCTTCAAGTCTTAAAAATGTAACACGAATGATGTGATATCGATATTGATACAGGAAACCAGATAACATGGTACATTCTTTGCGTCAACACATCTTGAATATTGACGTTACTTTGCCTATTGACACGATAAAACATAAAGATAAAAAAGCGAATGAAAATAGGTAATTTGCAATATTTTGATAAATATCTATTATGAACAATTCATACGTCTAAAACATATCTTTGTCTATTATGAATAGTATAACGGATGTCAAAACGCAACATTATGAGATGGAGGACCGAGAAAAAGATAAAGCGAAAATAGAAGAAGAAATTGAAAAAGTAGAAACGAAACCAAGTGTGGATTTCTTAAAGGATTTAAAATATGACATGGACAGCAGCCTGGGAGTTCAATTAAATCAAATATTACGTAAATATACTTTGCGAAAAACAAGATTGGAAGAACGCGAAAAAGAAGTTAGTGTAATTTATAAATATTAATATAAAAGTAAATATTATTACTATTATTATTGTAATTTAATAATTTGTTTTATTCAGTGGAAAGTTATTTATAATGAAAAGCCGGATATATCTATTAATCAAATGTACGATGTACTCGCTATAGAGGAAGCAAAAAGAACTATCGGTGATTACAAATTAAAAACATCTTCAGTTTTTTTGCTGTCGAAAGAACGAGATACTCTCTTTTCGAAATATAAGAAACTGCTAAAGTGTCGAAAAAAGGTTTGCAAATAAAAAAATGTTTATTTATTTTCATTTATTTCATTTACTTTCATTTATTTATTTTCAATTATATATGATTTCATATTATATATTTTCTATATCAAAAGCTTTATAAAAACTTTTGATAAGCAGCTTTACTATCAGCAAGAAGCTTTCAATACAAGATTGAAAGCTGTGAGAGCAGAAAAGGAACACTTGCACACGGAAGTTCTACATTTAATAAAATCTCTCAAAAAAATTCACGCCGAGATACCATTAGAAAGTATAAAACCTTTGCCAGTTATTCCTGCGTTAAATATTAATATAGAATTTCCCGAGAGAAAAATAATGGTACGTATTCCCATTCACAAAATAACACTACATCAAAATTATAATTTTCTACTTAATAATGTAACTGTTATGTACATGTGTTATATCATTGAGTGAAAAATTATAATATTGGTGTAATGTTACTTTTCGTGTTTAGTGAGTTTTTATTGATAAGATAAGAAAAATGTAATAATTTATGTTATATCGTATAGAAAGAATTTAATAATGAAAATTAAATTATAATGATAGGCTCTAACAAATTAAATCGCTAATAAAATATGATTGACTTTAAGAGCCAACACTTTTCCATGAATATAATACAAAATAAATTATTTACGCAATATTGTGATATCCTGTATTGGCATATTTTATTGGAAGAATTTAAGTTATATATCATATAGAAATGCAAAAATCTAATGTGAGGTTGCTGAATCAATGAATATCCAACATGAAATTGATTTACATAAAATGCTTATTAATTTAGCCTTATGCTATGTTTATGCAACTTATGTTATCTTGTGTATGATGGGCTTTAATTTTTCCACATATAGATCGAAGAATATACATTAAAGGACATGAAGCAAAAACCAACAGCAGTTTTGCCAGAGCCAATAATATCTGTTTGTCCAGACAGTCCAGACGAAGAATACGATGTGCTACTTCTAGATGAGAAATTTCCAAAAAGTGCAAGCGGACTGCTTGGTAGTCAAAAAACTCTATATGTATACGTATATAAACTTTTTTAACAGAAATTCGTATTATTTTTTATTGCAGAAAAGAAAATGAAAGTCCAACCCACTGTCCAAGATAATATGAAGTTACTTTATTTAAGCGATGATGTTGAGAATTTGTGGGAACGAGAAATGAAATTTTCTCGTATATTGCGAAAAAAACACGAACAGGATTGCATATTAAGTTGTATACAAACCAAATACGAAAATATAGACAAGAAGTTAGACAAATTAGAATATGACAGATTGAACATTGTTACCGAGAATGTCAATCTTAATTTATTTTTATTGACGCTCCGTCAAGAATACAATATCTTGAAAGAGTACGAAACAATGGAAAACGTATTACATGATCAAGTTAATCTTAAATCAGAAGAAGTCGCAACAATGAGACAAAAAGTTAGTTAATGTTTTTTTTTATTTAATTCCAAGATCGATTAGATATAATGGTGATCAAAAATCTTTTAACCCATATAAAATTGGAAATATGAAAATTTTTATAAAACGTAAGAGAAATTTTAGAAAGAATAATTTCGTTTCGTAAGAGGTAGGGGAAAATTTGAAAAAAGAAAAACCTCGAAACAATTAGTTAATGTATTTTATCATGACTTTTATCTCCGCCGCAACTTCCTGTCAGCGAGGATGTGTATGTACTGCTTGTGGGTGATTTTCGTGATACAAGAAATGTTTGTGTATAACATTCTGAACATTTCACTAATATTCGAACATTCTGTAAAAATTTTTTTGCTTCTAAATGTACAGCACATTGGAAATACAGATCGAACTTTTCATAAATGAAAACGTTAGCTATGTAAGACTAAGAATTATATAATATTAATATTAATATTTTCAGATACAAATAATAACCGACAAAGTTGATATTAAAACGAAGGAAATTACAGAATTACAGAATCAGATAAAGGATTCTTTTTCCAATTTCATGCTTAGAATAAGTGATAACAAGTTCCGTAACTTTTTACGTAGAATATTGAAGAAGAAATATAGAGAAGTGAAGGAAGACGATGGTAATAAGAATATTTTAAGAACAATCCAATAAAAATGTTTCATACAATCATTCAATTGTATCCGGATTTTTGGATCCTGTATCTGTACTTGGTACCCTGTACGTATAATTGAAGTGTACAATTAATAGTCATTTATTATTATTTTAGAAGAGACTACTACGACTGAAACGGATTCAGAAGAAACGGACGATGATGATAATGGAGAATCTGAATTAATTTATTTTGATGAAAACGTATGTCCGCCAGAATGTGATAAAACACTGTATGACTTGGCATTTTCGATAAGAAAAACACGATATGCACATGAACATCAAATTAGGGATGCGCAACAAGTTATAGAGGTCCTTCATAAAGAGATTCAAATTCATATGAAGAAGCTAAAAATTGTAGAGAGTATTTTGAAGAAAAATGAGGATGATTTAAAAATGTTTATGGTATTATATATTTAATGCGTTAATCCATTAATAAGACAGTCTCCTGGTAAAAAAGTTCTCACATCTTATAATATTTTTAAGAAATTTTATGTTTTAAATTTTTGGAAATATTTTCAGATTTTATAAGGAGAATTCATTGTGCATTAGAATGTGACTTCCGTCTTTACACGGTATATCGTGTGTCGTATATGTATCGTATTCAGGAGATGAAATATATAGTATATAGTATATAGTCAGTATATAGTATCAGTATGTTTTCCATGAGCTGGAAGTAGTACTTGTCATCAAAAATATTGAGTTATACGTTGGTATTCATTGATACTCTATCAAGTTATACTTTTCCAACGATATGTATAATAGTTCATCGTGTAACGCCGGAAGCCAAAATGAATATTCTTTTTTTCTTTAGAAATTATTGAATGAGATAAAATATCTTCTTAAAAATCTTGGAATAGAATTCAGAATTCACATATGTAATACTATAATTAAAGAATTCTAGGAAAGACTTTTGTTTTTAAAAAATTCGTATTTTACAAATCTAATTTTCTAAAAAATTATAAAATTATACAGAATTCTGAAAAATTCTGAAATTTATAGAAAAATTTAGAAAAAAAGTTATGTGAAGAATTCTAAGAAAAATTTTCATATAAAAGTGATCGTTTACTTAATCTGTTCAATAGCTTAAGAAACAGCAAAAATTAAACAATGTGCAAGTTACGGTGCTAATGAAATTACATCAGCTGCAATATTTTGGCGAATCTCAAATTCCATTTAAAGTGCACGATTGCATAGTATTTGATAAGAAAAAACTGTCTAAATTATACGCGAGAATACAACAATTATACGAGGAAATACTTGAATTACATGTTAAACACAAGTACGTAAATTTTGTACATGGCGAGCCTATAAATAATATAACCAATATTGAAGATCCGTATGAACGAAATATACATGTTGTGTTTGCAGAGATGCTCGAACACATCTTCACAGAATTAAACTCGATTGTAATCAAATGCGTGTCAACAATAAAAAATTGCAAGATGAGATAAAGCAGAAAATAATGAACAAATTTGGCCAGAGTTTATCCTTAAATAAATTATATGAAACAATACTTCGTCGAATAGTATATGATATTAAAGCTAATTTAAGTGAGACAATGACGTATTTCACTAAACGAATCAAGCGTAAGTTATGTGCTAATATCATAATGTATTTTAATTTCATAGATTTATATTTCGCATTTATATTTTTATTATAGATATCAAAGAAAATTACGTTGAAGAATTAAACATATTTAACAAGTTGCTCCGGGAACATACACAAAAATTAAGTTTCTTAACATTTTTAGTGGAAGAGCAATCAAAACTTCAGAAACTGTTAAAGCAACGCATCATATCAAATGTAAATCACATTTATATTTGTTAAATATTTAATTTCACATTTACTAACATTACCTGTAACATTGCTGTTACAGGAAGAAATGCTGCAGTTGGAGGAGAAATACAAAAGTGATATAATGAAGTTGGAGAGTATCCTTGAAAATCAAATGCGACAAAAGCATCTATTTCAGAATGACATTAAGAATCTTAGATTAAAAACAAAGTCGCACATATCCAGTCAAACTTAAGAAAATAGTATTCAGTGATAAAGGTAATAATAGGAAGATTTCTC